CCACTTAAAAACAGAATTGCACAGTCCTCGCTCTGCGCCACTTACTTCTCTGTTCTCCGTGGTCAGGTGCCTCCCCAGGTTTTGGTTGCTTGAAAGATGCCCCACATTTCCGGTCCAGTGGTGTGACTCTCCGCACCACCTCCAGGGTGCAGCTTGGTGCCTTCCTGATGTGTAGCCTGGTTGCAACAAGAAACTAAAGTACTGCCCTGTCTCTTCCCCCGCCCACCTCCCTGCCAGCCCCCCCCCCCACAGTTTAGCCCTGCAGGGTCTCGGAGGGAAGATCCACCCACAGGCAAGTGGAAGAATCAAAGCGCTCGAGACTGCGGAAATTGTGAGTGCACCAAACGCTGCGGCGGCCTCATGTCTCAGCAGCTACTGCAGCCCCGCCACAAGAGTGTGCGTCCCAGGAATCTCCTGGCACCCGTCGAGTCTTTCTCCCCTCCTCTAGTCCTGAACATGCTGCCGGGTGCAGGCCGTCTTCTGCTGCAGAGCACGGCGTGGAAGGAGCGGTGCCTCTCCTTTCCCTGCTCCTGCGGTCTGGTGCGCATGGAGGCTACGTGAAGAAAGTGCCACATATCATTTTGTCACTGATGTTCTGCTTCCTCCTCGTCGGACTAGGGATTCATCAGCAAGCAGTTGTGTATGTGTTTGTGTGTGTGCGCGCGTGTGTGAACACCTACACCCATCCTGGAGAGGGGAGTTAGGGGGTGGGCACCCACCCATGCCAGTTTGCAGTTAGAAAGTCTCCAGGCGTGGTACTGTCATGCCGGCAAGAGCACAAAGTCATCGTTCACGTCCACCATTGGCACGTAGAACGAGGGCACCTCGTTCACGCAGAGCGATTTGTGCCCAGCAGGATCCAGTTCCTGCACTTTCAGCTGCCACTCCATTCGCTGCACTGCATTCAAGGCTGCGGCTTCATGTTGCTGGCGCATCAACAGGCACGTCTGGATCAGAAAAGAGAGGAAGGGACATGAGCACAAGAGGAGGAAGGCATGCACACCGGGCCTGGGGCTGCCTTGTTAGGCCTAGGTTGCTTAGAAACTCCCCCCCCCTTTTTAAATTCAGAGGGCCGTGCTCTCCCTCCCTCCCTCCCTCGGGGAGTCAGTGAGCAGGTATGGGGAAAGCTGAAACGGGATGCCCTCTTCCAGCTGATCCATGAAGCTTCTCCTCTTTTTGTTCTTAGACATCCACTGGAGATGGCTACATCTTGAATGAGCTGGAGGTTGCTAGCTTGAGAAAGATTAATTAAGAGTTCGTGTGTCATGCAGATGAGGAGCAAAAATGTTATCCATTTTATCGGTGGATGCCTGAACCAATAGGTTCAAAATGTTTAGTCTAAAGATTAGAAGGATTTCCTGTTGGGAGGGCAGTTCAAGAGAAGATAGTGCTCTGCGATTTAAAGGACTTTCAGAAATAACACATCCTTGGGTCTTATCATTTTTAATTTTTGTTAGTTTTTAAACTGAATTTTTGCTCTTGTTTCTTATTCGACTGAGCTTCTTCAACTTTTATTTTCAGAGAAAAGCAGATAGTCATAAAAATAACACCATCATCATAGTTCCATCCTCTCAGGTCACTGTCCCTGAGTACCTGCTCACCTTGGGGAGAATGTATGGAGAGAGGTAGACAGACAGATGGACAGACATTAATGGATTTATATCCCACATTTCGTTCAAGAACTCAAATCTAAGAAACACTAAGGGGTAGCAACATCTCACCACTTAGGCCAGTTTCAAATAAATGTTGATTTACAAAGACACACACACCCTTTTAAATTTGCTTTTAATTAAGTGCATATGTGAACTTAGACATGTTGTTTTTCCCCTGACGGATGGGCTGGAAGGAGGAAAGAGGCCTGCTGAGGCAACAAAGGGCTTCTTCAAAAAGAATGAAGTCTTTTAAAAGGATGAACTACACGGAGTTTTCATTCTGCTTTTAAAACCAGGTTAATAGCTTTGCAAGGTTTTAGCTCTGATGAAAGGAAAGAAATTTAAAAGACCCAATCAGTATAGTGGCAGAATACAAGGAAATTAGGTTATAAGTGACTGAAAAGGTCTGGCTGAGGTCTTGGTTGCAGTTTGGAATGAGCATGTGGTGAGGGCCTTGGACCAGATTGTGCTCGTGGATCCCAGAGAGCTCCCTGGTTGATGGAGCAACTCTGGGAGATGAAACGATGCAAGAGATGCCTAGAGTGCTGCTGGAGGAAGATGAAGAGCAAGGCTGGCCAAGCACAGGTGAGAACCTGTACTAAGAGCTACCTCATGGCGATAAGAGCAGTGAAGCAGGCTTAGTTCTCTGGTCTTACTGTGTCCACAGATAGCCGGCCAGTGGTCCTGTTTTGGGTGACCAAATTCCTTCCGTGTAAGGAAGGATGGGGGGAGCCTCTGCAGGGCTGCTGCAAGGACTATTCCAGGCATCTGTTGGGCAAAGTCACTTGGCTTCACTCTGAGTCAGACTCTGGCTGGGCGGGTTTTATGGAGATGCCCAAGGCACATCTTAACTGAGTTATTGGACAGGGTCCTTGTCGCTGTGAGTTCTGCCACCTGTATTCTAGACCCATGCCCCTCCTGGTCGGTTAAGGCCACCCGGGAGATTGCGTATGGTTGGGTCCAAGGGGTGGTTAATGCCTGTGTGTGTGTGGGGGGGGGGGGAGGTGTGGTGAGGATCTCATCTGTGAAAGCCTGGATGGAGAGGAATTGGCTATGACTAAACCCTGGCAACATGGAGCTGCTTTGGCCCCCAGAGTCCAATGTATTGTCATGTTTGACACTTGACAGGGTGGCCTTCCCCTGGATAGAGTTGATGCACAATTTGGAAGTCCTCCTGAACTTGCAGCTGGTGGTGACTTTGCACAAATTCATCTTGTGCACCAATTGCACCCATTCCTGTACACCTTAGTCACCTTTCAGTTGGATCACTGCAATATACTAGGCTGACCTTGAAGACCACCTGGAAGCTTCAACTGGTCAGCATGCAGTGGTGTGTGCTGTTCTGGGTGCTCTGCAATCTGCCCATGTTACACCTCTGTGGTGTGAGCTGCTTTGCTTCCAGTTCCTTCCCAGGTGCAATTCAAGGTGCAAGTCATCACCTTTAAAGCCCGGTATGGCATGGGGTCAGGTCACTTGCAGGACTGCCTCTCTGAGGGCATCTGCCTATCTCACCAAGCCAAAGAGTGTAGGTGTTTTCCAGGTTCTGTCCCTTAAATATTGCCATCTCACAAGGCCTTGGAGGGACACCTTCTCTGTGGCTGCCCTGGCCTCTTGGAGCAGCCTCCCCACGGAGATTTGGAGGGGCCCCAGCCTCTTAAGCCTTCCAGAGGACGGTGAAGACGTGGTTCTTCTCCCAAACACCGGGCTAGGATGGAAGTGACTCCAGCAAATGTAGAGTAGGTGGGGCTGGGATAGGAATGATGGTGTCTTTTGTGGGGTTCTGTGGATTTATATTTATATTGTTTTTACTGAATGTTGCTGTGAGCCACCTAGGATTTTCATGAATAAGTGGCCATGTTAGTTTTTTAAAATGAACGAACGAACGAACGAATGTTGCATTGCTAATAAAGGTTTCTTCCAAACTCTAGATATACAAGGAAATTGGGCAATCCTGGGATGGGAACAACTGGTTCGTTCCAACGAAATGGAGAGCTCTGTAAACATTCCATTATCAGAACTGTAAATGTTCTCAGTAACCTGCCACCTAGTTTCTTTCTTTCTTTCTTTTTCTTTTTCTTTTTCTTTTTTTCTTTCTTTCTTTCTCTTTCTTTCTTTCTTTCTTTCTTTCTTTCTATTTTAAGAAGAGCGATTTACAGGATGGAAAAACATCAAGTCAGAGCATGTGCGGCCTGTAATGGGCCTGCCTGCGTGGAGCAACTGGCAGAAAAGCGCATAAAGGCATCTCGCTGCCAGAGGGGAGGGCCACAGATGTGGCCAAAGAAGATGAACTGTTCCCAAGAGCCAGAAGAGCTGGTTCCTCCATGGCATGGCATGGGAGGCAAGGAGACGGAAGGGGAGCGAGCCACAGAGCTGGGGCGGGGCGGGGGTTCAGAGCCTGAGGTAAGTGGTACTCTTCAACAGTAAAGAGGGGTAGTGAGTTCTCAGTCCCCTCCAGGCACCTCACAGTGACCAATGCACTTTTTGAAGCCGCCACCCTGCCCGATTCTCTGCATGGAAATAATTTTCAGAAGAAAAACACCGAAGAGGGGCAGAATGAAAGTGACAGCCCCATTTCCAAATATCACCCCTCCCCCCCCACAAAGCAAACCTGAAGGAATATATTTTATTGCAAGAATGGCTCAATTAACAGTTTTTAAGGCTAAATATTCCCGCTGTCACCCTTTCACAACAGAAGCAATAAGGTTTAAAACATTTACCTCCTGAATGAGGAACATCTTTGGAGAAAGGATAAACCCAAGCATAGACCACCTCCCTCCCCCTCCAATAATGCACCCTTTTTGCCTACACAGAAAGGTTTTTTGCAGGGCAAGATGGTTAGTGTGGCTGCAACAGTCCCAATTCCATAGACGTCAGACCAGTTTGCTTCTGAATCAAAGACACTGAGCATCTTTATTTGGAGATACCTGATGGAATATGCAAGCAGGTTTCCCAGTGTTTTGGGGTTGCAAACATATACAGAGTGCTGGAAAGTAAGTGCTATCAGTGCAACTATAAAATAATTATGGAAGGTGGGGGAGTCGTGGCCAATAAAACCATGGATCGTCACGAACCTACGCCATGTTTTAATGGAATCTCCTCTGAACTGTTATCAAATTTTACTGGTGCACAGTAAAAAGTCATCCATGTTAGAAGCCAGATACAAAGATCCCAAGCACGGGCTCTTCTGGAGAATCATGATTTTCAGAGATTGTCAGTTAAAAACATCACAATCACAGAAACTGGTGGGCCAGAGGAATCTCTTCTAAGAATCAGGCACCCAGCTGAATGATGGAGATATTTTAAAGAGGAGGGGAGGGGAGGCAAGTAGAGTCTCACCAGCGCTACGGGGTGGATAAGAACAGATCTGAGGGAGCAGCACGTGCACCCAGCCCTTTCCCTCCCGATCGTAGCACACGCCTAAGACTCCGCCTGGGCTGCCACTGACGCCACTTGCCTAACCCTGCAGGACCCTCCTGGCTTCACTGCTCACCTTCATCCGGTCATATTTGTCGTCCACGTCCTGCAACCATGAGATGAACTGGCGAGCATTGAAACGATCTCTGACAGATTTGTTTTCATCTCCCTGAGAGATAAAGGACGAAGGTAAGCGGGAGACAGAAAGGCTAAGAAGTTATTCCCCTCTCTCTCTCTATACACACATACACACAGTCTTTCCTGCAGAAGAGTTTCAAATAGGTGCTTGTTATTTCCATCAACCCTATGCATTAGGTCTGGGGCGTGAGCATCCTACTCCGAGGACCCTTTGCAAGAGAGGTGCTCTCCTAGCCTTCCTGAGTGCAGCCCCCAACCCCAGCATCTTCTCTGTGGTAGAAAATAATGCTCAATCTCTCATTGTGTGCTAAATCAGAGGCAAAGGATCAATATGATGGATAGCTATAAATTCCCCCTACCCTGCTTTGTGCATGGGGACTGATGCCTGCAATGCACCACTCAGCTTCCCACCGAAATGACAGCTTTATAGCCAGCAGGGAGAGCAGCTTCAAAGCTAGCGGCCAGCAGGAGGTGCTGGTCTCATTGTTCTGTGCAGCTGCAGCCACTTGTACCTTTCCTCTTGCCGCAAAGCAAGGCTCCATCTGACTCATCCCCAAATCTCTAGCCTTTACTTGCACAAAGCTGTACTGAGCTGCGAGCACAGGGGGGGACACCTGCAGTCTGAGGGACAGAGGCTTGCTCTGCACAGTTCAGAAGCTCTGCAGGATGTATTTTCTTCTGAAAGAAATCTGAAGCAACATGATTAACAAAGGTGCTGTGAAGAACGGCCGAAGGGGAATTTGGTGCCAGTCCCCGAGAGCTGTCACCCAACTATGCAGCAGTTGTTTCCCCCACTCACCCCTAGCATTCCTTTGGAAATCTCATCCATTCTCCCAAAGCCATAAGAAGAGTGCAGAGTCTGCTGGCACATGGCCAGCGCACGAGTGGAAAAGTAGGCATCGCTGCAGTGACAAAAACATCTTCTCTGCCTCACGCCTCATCATCCCCCTGCAGACACCCCAAAAGAAAAGAATCCTAGTAGGCAGAGCCAGACCTGGTTTTCTAGAGGCATGTTGTACACCTCCGAGTCCAGAAGCATGGTGCAGGCACTGAAGGGTACGGCTTGATTTGCTATCGTCCTTGCTGCCCGACAATGAACTCTCAAAATCTCCTGTTCACAGGACACAATCAGCTTCTCCTGGAGAAAGGAGGAAAGTGTTACCGGGGACCAAGGGACACCCACCCCACCCCACCCCACCCCACCAGGCCGGCTCTGAACCCCAAGCAGTTGCAGTTACCCGCTCAATGCTGTGCTGGAGTCGCAGCTTGCCACGGACCGCTTCCTGCTGTTTGAACAGCTCCTTCAGGGGCTCAGCCAATGATGGGGGCGGGGCAATCTGAAAGGCACAGAAAGCTGGGAATGGTCACCAGGCGGTGGTCTGTCCAGGGTTCGCCAGGTCCAGGGGATGACGGATCTGTGCCTGGGGCAGGCCCAGCCAGACACGCCTGTGCTCCTAACAGGGCTCCACACAAAGCAAGGCCCAGACAGGGAGACACGGCTCACACAGCCTTCCTTTCCACCTTTCACTACAGTCTCCCTCCTCTCAAACAAACCAAACGTCTTCCCATTTATGCTGCAGAGCACCAAGCAGGAACGCAGCCTGGGGTGGGCTTGTCATCTTCCCTCAGCAGCAAGCAGCTTCCACCATGCTGTTGCACGTGGGAGGGGGCAATAAGGGTCTGTTTCTCTGGCCCTCAAACAGGCTGTTTCTAACTTACGTGCCATTTGGAGGCTGCAGCACATCCGAACCCAAGCCCCCTGGAGCTGCTGCCTTCCCACTAATATCTTTAAACAGGGCCCCCAGAGAAAGGGTGAACTATTTGGACTGCTCAGCTTCCCCTCTCCTGCCCTCAATCAAAAGCCAACTCTCACGCTATCCTACAGCTGAAAGACAAGGGAATATCAACTGAATCGCTATTTCCGTTCTGCCACCACCCTAAAAAGTATGTGTGGACAGTGACTCTCCCAATTTCCCAGCCTTCCTGCCCTACACAAGGGGAGCAAGGAAAGGCTCCCCATGCGTTTGGAAGCTGTTCAGTGGGAGTCCCTCTGTCCCAGTGTGGAGGGACAGACAGCAGGTGGAATGGCCAGGTGAGGAGCTGTCCTCTCCTGATGGCAAAGATTCCTAAAACACAACTGGAAAGAATTCAGTTCTCCTCATTCTGCTCTCATCTCTTGGTTTCAACAGTGGTAAACACCAAAGTAACAAAGATTCAAATTTAGTGCCTCCTGACAGATGAATTTGTACTGGCAGATCCTCTCGTTGCAGAACATGCCAAGAATAATGGGAGCCAAGCACCTATGAAAACCAAAGATTCTGTTCCTCTTTCTGTCTGGCCAGAGAGCTGTATGTATACATTGCTTTCCCACTGTCACACTGATACAAAGTCATACTAAGCCTGATCTGACGCCAGCTGGGCTCGCTATTATTTTTGGTGATTTGTTTGACATGGGCTTAGAACTTCCCTTCCGAGTTTACCGTTTTTTAATTTTAACGCACTGTTCTCCAAACTCACCATTACTAGCTGGTCCAATGCCCACCTATCCCTTCCAAGGCTTTCAAGGAGTTGCTGAACTCCAGCCTATCTCCTCACTTTGGTGGCATCAGGTCAGAATAACAATGGAGGCATGAGAAAATGGGGGCCTTCCCTTCTTGCTCTATAAAGCACTTGACTGAAAATACTTCCATGAGGCTGCAGTAGGTCTGTGTGATGCAGCGAGGGCGCCCCTTGCCAGCAGGAATTGATGTGGCTGCTGCCATACCTGCAAACCTTAAAAAGGCAGCAAGAAAAACAAGTCGATTACTCACCACCGGAATGTGGAGCTTGCTTAAAGGTTTTCCATCTAGCAAATAGGAGCCTGTGTAGGTGACGTATTCGGCGTAGCACTGGGGCGCTTGGGGAGTGATGTAGCAAAGAATTTTCCGCTTCTCCTCAATTTTCTTCCTGATCTGCAGGTACTCAAAATAAGGATTGGACCGGTCACTGTGGTAAGGTTCAATATCATCCAATTTGATGGTGTCGACGATGGCGGCCAATGTCTGCTGGATCATTTCCCGGGTCTGCTGGGTGGTGGTGTTGATCTGCTGTTGTATCTGCTGGTTGGAGCGCTGGAACCGTCGCTTCCGGGGGTGCTGGGCCTGTGCATCCTCCTCTTCAGTCACACGTCCCTTCGCCCTTGTGGAAGGAGCAGAAGCAGGTGGGTATTCTTTTTCAGAAGCAGCAGCATTCTGCTTGTTTTGATTGGCAAGCATCTGGGCTCGGTTTCTGGTGATCCGCTGTGGGATCTCTTCTATTTTGGGAGCCTTTGGGGGTTCAGGAATTGGTTTTGGTGCTGATTCTGCAGTCTCCAACTGGACATTCCCTTGGGGCACCTCTGCCTGAGAAGAAGAAACCTGGCTGGTGCCCCTCGTAGCTACTGCATCTTGAACTTCAGTGCTCTCAGTCCTGTCTGCTTGGCTCAAACAGCCTTGAGAACCATCACTGGATGCAAGAGCAGCTGAGGAGTGTTCTTCACCACTGGCCTCTACCTCCTTAGGCTCCAACTGCACAAGATCTACTGATCCTACCTCCTGAACGTTCTGGGAGGTCTCTGATTCTTCTCCGTTTTTCTGCTCTGGGGTACTACATACATCTGGCACTACTTTTCCAGAAATCTCCTCCAGCTTCTGTTCATCACCTTGCAGATCTGACTCCCCAGGTGGAATGCTTTGTGGATTTAGACTCAGTTCCTCCTGATCCTTTGCAGGCCCCAAAGGAACCCCAACATCCAGAAGTGCTGCATTGATGGCTTCTGAAGGTACAGCATGGCTTTCTTCACCTGCCTCCACCATTTCAACCTCTGGAACTTCTTTTGTTTGAAGTGGCAGCTCTGGTAAAGAGAATGGGCCCAGGTCCAAATCATCTTCTGAGTTTGTAAATGGATCAGGCCATGTGACTTGTTCCTCTGGATTTACAGGGGCAATGCTACTATTCTCTAAGAAATTTTTTTCAAGAGCATTAACAACTTCCACTTGGGGCTCTGCTGGCTGCAAAGCCATGTCAGATGCTTCTTCTGGGACAGCCTTACAGTTACTGAAAAAGGTATCTAACCTAGCAGGGGAATCCACATACGAAGCTTGTTGTTCTGCAGTCACTATTTCCGGTGGAACTGTTTCTTCAGCATCTTCTTTTGCTTTATCAAGTCTTGGTTCAATCACTGAAAGGGGGTATGAAGCAGGGGAGTTAGGATATAGGGTATCTGCAGAAATGAAGGGCACTGGTGTGGGATGTGTTGTATCTAGAGAACAGAAAGGCTTTGGGGAATCAGGGCGATGCTGAGGAGATTTAAGAAGCAGCTCAGATCCCACTGGCCAGCTTACAGGATGTTCAGGAGGATTGCCAATTAAACTAGGTGGCACTGGAGGATGTCTTTTTGGTGTGTTTTCCCATTCTGCACTGTTCTGTTCTGGAATGCCAGAATCAAACTCGTTCTCCTCAATTGGGGGTAAAAAGCTGGTCTCTGGGGGCATAATGGAAGCAGTTGCTTGTTGATCCTCTGTAGCATCCAAAGGCATGTCAAGATCTGGTGGGAGAGCACTTTCTACAGAAGGGGCAAGCAGCTCATCTCTGTGAGAAGGGGAAGATTTGGCTTGCAATCCAGAAAATACACTTTCAGGGGACTGGACAACATTGCTAACAGTTCCTGATGTGCAATGCAATGCCTCTACTTTAGGTGATGGGACTCCATAGTCTGGTGAGTAATATTCTGGAGATAAACTTGGGAACTTTTCAGTAGGAACAGAAGGAAGAGGCAATTTCTCCTCCATCAAGTGCTGAACTGGAGAATCATAACTGGATGTGGCTGGGACACTCTGCTGCCTAAAAAATTTATCCCCAACACTGAATTCTTCTTCTGGTGCCCTTCTAATATCCACAGACATTGACCGGTGGAGATTGGTAGAGGGGATGACCCTTGTTGGGGTTTGACTTGGATTCTCAGATAATCCACTTGAAGGATTTGAGTATCTGTCAAAGAAAGACGGAGAACAAGCATTCATAGACATAGTAGAGATGGGGAGAGAATGCTGAGAATCAGCACAGTCAAACATTAGATCTGTGTAATCTTCATTGCTGCAAGATGGAGTTCGTGGTGTTTGCATCACCTCTTCATAGCTTGGGCATGAAACAACTGATGCTGGTGTGGGAACCCCTGTTGGCCTGTGTTGATCTGGCCTCGGAGAAGCAGGTAAGATTTCCTTCAGTTGGGGGCCAGCTATCCAGTCCTTGGAATCCACCCCCACAGCAGGTTGGGTCTTGATATCAGGAGATGCTATGGGAACTAGTGGGCCTAGGTCTTTGAGTTTTTTGTCTTTTAACTGAGTGTCAAGAGCTAGTGGCTTCTTGGTAGTCAAATCCAGACTCTTTTTGCGCATGTCCTCATTGGCTTTAACTTTGTCTTTTAATTTGGGGTCTCCGGATCTATGCCTCATCTTTTCCATTTGTTTCATTCTCTCTTTGTGCCTTTTGTGGCGCTCTTCAATCTCAATATCTTTTTGGCTCAACATCCTCTCAAAGCTGGTCATCATCAGGTCCCCATCTCCTAAAAGCTTTTCCCTGGGTCGGACATCTTTTTTGCTGCCTTCTTTGGGTAAGACAATTTTATCATTCCCATTGCTCATTTTAAGACACTCTGCTTTATCCTTTTCTTGATTTTCTTTCAATCTCTCCTTTACTTTGAGATCATTCAACTTGGATGGTTCTTCCTTAGACTTGTCTTTAGGAGTGATCACTTGAGAAGTCTCTTTGTCTTTGGCAAACTTCTGCTCCTCCTTGTGGTGCTTGAACAATCCATCTGGGTGTTTGTCTCTGTGCTTTTCTCTCTCATCTTTCCACTTTTCTTTGTGCCTGTCTCTCTTTTTCTTCTCTTTGGTTGTACTAAATGTGTTGGAGCTGCAAGTTTTTTCTTTTTCAATCTTCTTAGGAAGCTCTCTTTCTGATTCATTCTTGTCCTTTTTTTCAGAAAAAAGATACTCCATGTTTTTGTCCAATTCTTCTTCAGCCTCTGCTTTTGTGCTGTAGGAAATGCCAAAACCTTCCCCATCCAGCGCAAAATCTTTTTCATACTGAGCGGCATCCTTCCTGCTGCTGCTGGAGTCTTTCAGCTCATCTATTTTATCTTTCTTCTCTGCTTTCTCTTTCTTTGCTTTCTCTTTTTCATGACTTTTCTTTGATGAAGAGGAAGAATGCCTATGCCTCTCCTTCTCCTTGAGTTTCTCTGCCAAACAAGGCAAAGGCAAAGACTCCTTGAACTTCTCCTCAGAGGCGTCTGCGAGAGACAGATTGGAGGACTCAAAGAGACTGCTGAGCACTGGGTCTTGCCCTCGGTCAGTGAAGCTATCAGAAGAAATCTCGCTGATCTTGTCATTGGAGTCATCTCTGTATTCACTGAGGGCTTCTTCCTCCAGTTTCTCCAGTAAGCTCTTCTCTGCCTCTCCACTTTTGGAAGAGCGTTTTTCCTTGGTGTACTCTTTCTCCAGCTTTTCCTTGTGTCTGCTTTTAGCCTTTTCTTCTCCCACATGTTTCTTTTCTACCTTTTCAGGGAGTTTCTGCTTAGTCCTCCTTTCCTGGCCAGAATCAACTGAAATTCGCTCTTTCCGGTCTTTGTCTTTCTTTTCCTTGTGTTTTTCGAGTGAGCTTTTCTCTTTTTTCTCCTTTCCACCCTCAGACAGCCCTTTATCCTTTTTTCTCTCTTTTGACTCTTTATCTTTCGGTTTCTCAACAGAATGTGGCTGCCGATCAGAAGAATATTTCCTATGCTTGTCAGAGACATAAAGGTCTCTCTCGGCTACCACGCTGTCATCTTGGTCTTGCAGACTATCCATCCGATGCATTTCATTTGCAATGCCGTCTCCAAGCTTGAATCCAGTCAGACTGTAGTCTTCCTTTTCGTCCTCACTTTCATCAGTGAAAATGTCTAATATATTATACCAGGTTCTCTCTCTCCCTTTTTTCTCATCCTTTTTCTCATGGAAGTCCTCTCTATCCCCAGAGAAGATCTTCTCCTTCTTTTCTTTAACCTGATCCAAGGAAGTCTTCCTCTCTTTATCTTTATTGTGAGGATCTTTATATTTCTCCTTTGTGTCCTTTTTCTCTTTAAAGCTTTTATCCAATTCTTTGTCCTTTTGGTTTTTTTCAGAAGGCGTCTTCTCACTTCTCTCCTTATCTTCCACTTTGGATTTTTCTTTGTATTTCTCTATTTTTGATTTTTCTTTCTTGTCCTTCTCTGGTGCTTCCTTTTTCTCCTTTCCTGAATGATGCCTTTCCCAGGTCTCCATGTTTTTCCCACTGAATTCAGGGTCAGATTTTTCTTTGAAAAATGCTTCACAGCTATAGTCTTTAAATTCATCCCTGTAGGACTCGTCTTGTTTAATTTTAACATCTTTTCTATCTTTAGAACTATCAGGCAATTCCCTTCTTTCTCTAATTTCACTGCCATCCTTTTCTTTTCTCTCTTTAAAATTTTCAGCAGAATCCTTTCTTTTCTTTTCGGGCAGATAATTAGGAATATTTTTATGCTTTTCAGTTTGGTCCTTTTTCTTCTCAGAATTCCGCTCAACATATTCTCTTTCTTTCTTTTTAAGAAAGGTGTCTTTTTCATTACGCTTTTCACTGTAGTCTCTTTTGTCTTTTGTTTTACATTCTCGTTTCTTGTCTTTTATTTCCTCCTTTACTGTTTCAATTATTAGTTTTGCCACAGTGTCATTTTTTATTTCCCTGTAGTCTGTCCCTGGTGAATCCCAGCTATCTTCTCCTTTGAAATCAAAAGAAGAATCGGATGACAAATCCGAAAACCATCGATCTTGCTGGTCATCTGAGAGGCTAAACTTTGTATCTTCATTTTCCAAAAACTGGTTTTTATTACTAAATTCTTCAAAGGTAGACTCTTCTCGGTAACTTTTGTCTTTTTTACATTTTTCTTTCTCTTCTTTCACTGGCCTTTCTTTCTCTATCCTGCCTGTTTTTTCCTCCTTTGGTTCATTTTTCTTTTCGGCTTTGAACTGCTTGTCCTTGGACTTCTTCTTCCTCTCCTCCTTGTGCGTTCGAGGCTTCTCCTCTTTGGGAGATTTCTCTTTTATGGGCTTCTCCCTTTCCAATCTGCTGGTCTTTTCTTCCCTGAAAGGTTTACTGATGTCTTTACTCGCCTCCTTAGCTTTTTTCAAGGATTTCTCCTCTTTAGAATTCTTCCCAGCCTCCTCTTTAATCAGCCACTCCTTCTCTTCAGATTTGGTTTTCAGAAATTTGTCTTCCTTCTTGAAGTGCTCCCTCTCATGCTTTAGTGCTTTGAGCTTGTTTTCAACAGGGCTTTCTGTCTCTACAATCAAAGCCTTTTCGGATTTCTGCTTAGAGTCCTCATAATCAAAAGAAAAGGCTTTGATTATTTTAATGTCTTGGGCGGCAGGACACTGGCCTCTTTCTTTGTTTTTGTGTTTGTGTTTTGTTTTATGCTTTTTTACAACCTTCCCCTCCTTGTCCAGCTTTGGAATAGCTCCATCAACGTTGGCATGGAATGAATTTTTCTTATCCACCACCACCACAGCAGCCCCATGTTGCGCTCGCTTTTTGGGCTCCTGTTTCTTCCTCACAGGCTTCAAGGATTCCAGGCTCGAGTCCTCAGAGGTATAATCTGACTCACTCGTCAACCTTGTCCTTGTCGAATCTGATAAGGAGCTGACATCTGACCAGGCTGGAGAAGAAACCGTTTTCCAATTGTCAGTCCTCCAATGCTTGGAGTGCTGATCTGTAAGGGCTGAATTATGCTTCTGTGACCCCAAACTCCCGTGGGAAGAGGCAGAGGAAGCCGAGAGAGAATTAAACAAGGATGACTCCTTCAACACCAGTCTAGAGTCCTTTACACAGGTAGTACTTTGTACAGAGTCTCTGTCATCCTCCTCACTCTCCAGGTTTCCACTCTCTGATTCAGAGGAACAAAACTTGTCATTTTTTTTGCCAAACCGAACTTCTTTGCCTTTGGCTTCCTTCTTACGTTTCTTCTTCACCTTATTTTTCTCTTTCTGCTGTTTGGCACTAGGTGGTTCTCGAGCCTTGTTGCTGGCAGGAGTGGGATGGGTTGTCATTCGCAACTTTTCACCCCCTCCCACAGCAAGGGTGCTGTCTTCTTCATCAGACGTATCTGAAAGAATGCGATGAGCTACTTTCTTTGGTGCTATTGTGCTGTTTTTAGTGTAGGTTTTAACTTCCATCTTCGGAATGGAAATGAAATTATTTGCTTTAGTCTCTTTCCTATAATCCTTTTTCAACAGATGTTTGTCATCCACTGGTGGGACTCTGTCCTGCTCATCGTCCTCATCAAACTCGTATTCATCCTTCACAGGTGTGATGGCTTTGGGGGGCTCCTGGTTCTTCACCTTGTGTTTCAGGCCTTTCTCAAACTCAGAATCCGTGTTATTGCCATCAATGGAACTGGACGGTGCAAAAGAAGGAGCGTCTTCTTCCTCTGAAGTCTCTGAAAGAACAAGAGCACCAAGGAGGGTGAAGGACGGCCCCTACGCTCGCCTTCACTTAGCAGTGTTCTCTACAGAAACCTGCTCACAATACCTGAGTGGACAATCTATCTTCCATGCGCAAAGCATAGCTGGGGCTGCTCTACCTACACGGTGGTCTGAGAGGTCCTCTGGGATAAAAGGCCAAAGCTGCGCAGGGAGTCAATGGCTGGCATCCATTTGGTGCATCTGGGCAGAAAGGGTGCAAATCTAGTAAGAGCTGGGCCTGTGGATAGCATCCATCTGTTTCAAAAGGGGGCTCTTTCCAGCAGCTGCAGTGCCAATCTCTGATTAGATAAACAGTGCAGCTCTTCCCCGTGCCTCAGTTACCTCTTTAAAGAAACCCACAAGCACTGATCGAGCTCCGCATCCAGCCTGTGCAGCAGACAGAGAAGTCTCAGTCCCTGGTGCTTAACTTCCGCAACTCTAAATGCCCCAACACCAGAGATTTAAAAGGATTCAATGTATATTACCCCAGCAACTGGTGCAACATTTCTGTAAGCGGGACAGTTATTACCCCTGTGTTACCAACCCTTAACTCTTGGAGTTAGGAGAACTTGGGTAGAGGCATTCTAAGTTCATTGGGGGGATCAGAGTTGGACCAAGACTTCCCTGCTCACTGCGCTGCTTGTCACCCTTCTGAAATTATTCTCTTTAAGTCTGCACAGCTTCCAGTACCTTCTCTCGGAAGCTTCACTATTCTAAACCACACAGTGCAACACAATTCTCACTGTATACACCTCTAAGTGAATATAGAGATGTGTTAGCAATACTGCCCAAAACTTCTCTCTGCATCCCTCATTTTCAAGAACAGAGAAGTATTTTATTCAACCTAGCCCATCCCTGTTAAGTCTTCCCTCTATCTGCATCATGATGTTGCTGTATGGTTTGGAAAAGTAAGCAGCAAATGGCTGAGATAGTGCCTTTCTAAAGAAGTACATGAGTGGCATGTCTTGGCAGGGATACAATTAGCAGCTTAGAGAAAGGATACTAATTCAAGGTCTCTTATTCCATTAATGCTCCAACTTCATATATAAAATGCCAGTACTGCTTCTGTACAGAGCAGAAAAATACATAAGAAACCAAACACCAAGCTGTACTTTCAATGTAACTGATCCTGATCCAACCTTCACCACTGTACTGCCCTCCAGATATGCTTCTAGAATTGTTGGCTAAGAATTCTGGGAACTGTAGTTGCAATTCATTTGAAGGGCATTAGGTTAGGGAAGGTCACACTAAAGCAAGACTGCTCAATATCACAAATTCTGGCAAAAGCAATGATTGAAACTCACAATGTGGGCAAAGTGAAGATAAGCAACTGCGTTTTTCCTCAGTTCTATGAATTTTAGAATGAAGAACTACAAAGCATTGATTCCATATTGACCTGGATTCTTCCTGTGGAGCCTTTCAAGTGCTGATTCTTCAATGATGGGCTGTTGCAACCACAGAGTAACAGCATAAATGTAAGTCTCACCAGGGCCAAGGACAGTCTTAAAGGCCATGAAAGGGAAGACATTTGCCCAGAAAAGCAACACTCCTGAGCATTAAACAGGCATTTGGGGCATGCTCTTTTCACACCCCTGGGTCAGCAGCAAAGAGCCACTATTCTTGAGTTCAATACTGGTTAGCGCATGCTGAATGGCATTTTGATTAATTAAACATGCCTTGTTATATTCCACCAAACAACAGTCCTCTGTGATGGCCATTTATACCCCTCCATCATCCACAGATGTATTGTTTTTCACGCCACTTGTCACCTCTTACCTGTGGAGCTCTCTTCACTGGAAGGATATGTGGCCTTTCCCAAGAGCAAATTCACCATTGTGGGGGAATTTGCTACTTTTAGTGGGGTCTCTCCCCTCCTGTTAAGTTGTTGAGGATTTCCTCCATAATGTAACAACAATTTCACCACCTAATGAAACAAAATTTCAGTAAGTTGCATCAGGTGCTATTATCCAATAGATTAAAGAACATAAATTAAGGTCATCCTAAAGTTAATCATCTAAACAAATTAGCCCTTACCAGCTTGCATTAATGTAACCTGAAACCTGCAGAATAACGGTCACAACTCAGAGGAAAGAAACCTTTCAATACTTAACTGCAGCCCTCACTCCCTCCTTTGCGAAGGAAAGCATCTGGAGCCCACAGCCTTTCAGCATGGCTCGTCCCAGGCTACAGGGAGCACCAATCTGATTCCATGTCAAAGCACCCTTTATGCTTACATGCTTTGTCCCCTTATCCAGTTGGTCTGCTTTGATCTTCAGAACAGAAAAAGGCTGTTGCGCTCCAAGCACCTAGAGATAAGGGCTCTATGGCATATTGGGGGGGGTCAGTAAGACAGGAGCAGAGACTGGGGTTATTGCAAGTAATGAAAGGAGGGGGCTGTAGGAGTTTCCAAGCAGTAAACAGCTGGAAAGCAACAAACAGGAAGGGTATGCTTTCTGTTGGTTGCAAGGGACAACCTGAAAAAGAAAAAGAACCAAACTGTCAAATAAAGCAAGAACTGACCTTGTAGTGTCCATTGCTGGCTGCATCATGCAGGGGAGTGTCATCGTCCAAACCCTTGGTATTGACCTCGGCACCTGCAGCAAGCAGCTGTTTTGCAACATCATAGTAACCCCGGTTGCATGCCTCGTGCAAAGCAGTCCAGCCTGCAAATGTATATATCAATCACATAAGGGACTTGTATAGCCTAGTTCCAGGTGAGTAGTTATATGCCACACAATGCATCAGCTGGTGATGGCAGCTTGCCTGGTGAAAGATCTGCTAGTTTGTACTGGGTTAAATCTTGAGAAGCTTGATTCCTGTCTAGTATTTAGCCCGTCCGGACTCTTGGGTTGGTAATGTATATAAGGCAGTCGGTTGCTCTCCAGCAGAACTGAAGGCAAAAGAACTTTAGTGAATTAATATGTATGTATATGTGTGTATATGTATGTATGTATGTACATTATTTTTCCTAAACTTTGCACGAATCAGTGGAATATGCCTGCCTACTTCTTCTCAGGACTTCTGTTCCCCTCTGGGGTTTAGTTTAACAAGGTGTTAAGAAACAAAAACAAGATTTGCTGGAGTTCCTCATGGCTCAGTGGCCTGCATGGAAACGCACACACAGAAAATACTGCCCAAGAAACTCAGATTTAGCTTCTGGAATGCAGTGAGTGACGAGTGGAACGTGTGTGTTTGTGAGACAGAGAGAGGGAGGTGGAGGTAACTCTTTGCCAGAAAGAACCAAAGGAAAACTAGCTCAGAGGATAAAAATGTTATTGTTTAACTAGACAGCTACAACTATGAATATGTAACACATTTAAAATGGGGAGCAAGAAGTTACAGAGAGAGACATTCCAAATCAAGGTAATCTGTGATCTTTTGGGTTTTTTTGAGATTTGTCAATTTTTTTGACTACAAAGATGTTATGGGGCATAACTGCAAAACATAGATGGATTATGGTCCAGAATTTACCTCACTTGTTTTGAGATAGCTCTTATGTTCTCCTAATGGCAGTTCAAGCTGAGAAGCCCAAAGTCAGGCAAAATATTTGCATCCCCTAGCCCGGCAACATCTTTGCCCAGCTGATTCAGAGAGATTACCTGCAAAGTCTTTTACATTGACATCAGCACCCTCAATAATTAGTTCCTTGACCCGTCGGGCATCTCCTCGGATAGCTGCCCGATGCAGCCGTGTTTCTCCACGTTCATTCCTCTTGTTCACTTTATCTTTGGTTTTGGAGGCAGAATTAGGAGTTCCCTTCTGACAAACTGTAGACTGAGAGGGATGCTTTGGTGTTGTATCCACTGCTGGCAGGAGAGGGTGGGGGAGAAACACAAGGAGGAGCTTAATGGAGGCCCAAACCCCCAAAGCCTTTAGAGGGAGCTGTGCACATAGAGTTACAAGCAGACATGAGGACGGGGGGGGGGGGGGGGAGACGAATCTTTTGAAGCAGAGGAACGCCTCTGGATGCAGAACTGAGATTAAGCAACTACCACAGAAAGCAGCTGTGGAAAAGGATCTATGATACAAGGAATTAAGAGAAGCCTCCATTCATCAGAGGTGGGTATGCAACTCTGTAATGTAAACCTCCCAACCTTGGCAAAGGCATTCCTGAGGGGGCACCCGCATGCCGTTAGAAAGAAGCAGAAGCTCTAACTCTGCCCTAAAGACCAACGATCCTGTCCCAACCTGGGCTGTTGGCAGACTCTTCTGCTGTCATCTGCATGAGAAGGGCAACCTGCTGGCGCTCAGAGAGGGGGTAGCCTGCCCGAATCCCCGAAAGCCCCATTCCGAAGAGCAGGCTGGGCTTCCGAGTGGCCGGCTCCTTCTTGATCCTCTTCCGCTCAGGACCTTGCTTTTCTGTGAGGCCAAAGAGAGACACAAAAAAACAAACATTCGTATAGCCAAAACCTATTTCACAAACATTTCCTAAGTTTATTCCTTCAAAAGGTGGACCGCAGTATTTTAATGTTTGCCTTCCAGATGCTTGGCCTTCAGCACTGAAGTTTACATTACATTAAGACTTTTCTAAGTAGGACTAAGATCTACCGATTTCAAGTGAGAGAAAACATATTCTCTTGTCTCACCCCATGTAACATGAACATCTATTAAAGAACTTCAGCAAAAAACAAAAACAAAAAAAAAACACCTTGAAAACAGGACTAGAACATTTCTTAGCAGGCAGATTAAGTCTGTTTATATCACTGTCTTAATAAGATTGCAAAAGGCAGACAGGAAGAGGGCCAATCAGACTTCTTGTGGAAGATCAATCCCTAATTCTGATGAAGCCAGAAGTGCCTTGACCAGGGTTCCTCAGCTGTAGTTGAGAGACACAGAACAATAGACAGCATAGTATCTTAAGGAGCTTGCAGGGTGATTTATGAGGAACTAATTTTTTGGCCACCCTAGGCCCAAACAATTTAGGCCTTTAAAGGGAATCCACACCACGGTTGTCAATGGAGCAGCACATACAGTAGAGAAAACATCTGCCAAGCACATGGGGGCTCTTTATACAGTACAAAGACAGAACATCTTCATTTTTGACTGATTACTATTTCATCTCCTTTCTTAAATCTCTGCCTTTTGCCAACCACCTAAACCCCCCTTTCAATGTGGAAATCACAGCAAGGAATCAACACACTTTTTTTTCCCCTTCTTTGGCAGCTTTGTAATTTCCTGCTCTTCAGAACTGCTATTTTTTCCACTCTTTCTAAAAAATAATGTGGTGATTTCAACTTTACTCCCTGTTTGGATGTTAATGTGCTGGGAAATATGAAAAAGTGCAGTTTGCTACATTGCTCCCAGGTCTTTATTCTGCAGAAGCTGCAACTTATGTTCAACAAATGTCAGCAAGAGGCTTCAACACACTGTATTCAGAGAATGCACAGAATCACATTCAACTTAATTTGCTCTTTTCCTGCCTTTGAAATTGTATCTTTTCTTTCGAACAGTGTTTGAGAGAAAATGTTTTCATAGATTGACAGATAGAGCCAACCGGATACATATTTAACTGCAAGTATAAATGGATAATCAAAAATAAGAACTGTTGGATTTGACTTTTTAATTAAAATAGCATCCTTATTTTCACTCTTAAGTATGTATGAGCAAAATGGCACAGACATCAATCACATGGCCTACTTGCAAATACCACTGTCTTCCATGCAGCTTTTCTTCCTAATACTTTTCCTGTAGCAAGTAGAAAAAAAACCTGACAAGCCAAAATATGATTTAAAATGGTTAATATGTTGGAAAAAGCTGAGAGGAAAAGGCAGAAAAAGAGTAAAAGAAGCCTTTTCTGAGCAGGCCTGCTTATTAACAGTTTCAACACAAGCTATGATTTAAGACTCAGTTAAAAAAAGGTCATGCAGCCATATCAAATAGTTGCATGTTCTTCTACCAGCTACACTAGCATTAACTAGTTTTGGAGGGCTTACAGCATGAGTGACAATCATCACTAAAAGCAACTATGCCTTGTGCTGGATTTTGCCCACACAAGCAGTAGCCAGTGTGTGTGTGTGTGTGAGTGTGCAGCAGAGACATTAAGAGAAGAAGCAGTCCCTGAGATCTGGAAACCAGATTAAGTGTATTCACACACACAATCACCAAATTTGAGCAGGTGCAGCTTTGCTTTAGAGGTCTAAGAACCTTTGAAACACAAATACAGCATGGGAACAGGGGTATATTTTACTACTTAAATAAAACTGCAGATATTTACTGTTAATATCCAACTCTCAGAAAACAGTTTTGCGCTCAATGAATTCTGAGATTTTAAAAAATATAACTCTCAACCAAATCCAAAACAGAAAAAGGGAAGTGCCTGCCGACTCTCATGACTTCATACTGTTGGCAGTATGGGGCATTCTATTTTCATACAATCAGTGTTCTCTGATCCCAAAGGGTGGAAATATCTTGTTTCAACTAGACGGGAAAGCTTGTGGACTACTACCTCAAACCTCCGCTAGAATTGGCAGTAGGTTTAAAGAATGGAAATCCTGGAGTATACTAGAGGATCTAAAGCCTCTGGCACAAACAGCAAAAGGCTCCCTTTCATTCCCACATTCACCAGTTGCTTCATTCCAGCAACAACAAGAAAAACACTCTACAAGTCAGGCATTCTTCCATAGCCAGCCTACATGTGTTCTCACAAAGGGACAGGAATATGCCACAACCAGGGTATACTAAATCTAAAAATCAATTTTAAAAATAAAGGGTTTTTAGCTATTTTGGTATATTTTTTGTGGATCAGAGGATACTGAGGGGACTTATTTGATGCAGTGACATCACAGAAGCTGTGCACCACACTAGCTCCAACACTATTCCTACAACATTTGCAAACGGTTCTTTAGGGTGGAGAATGGGGAAAAATCCCAGAAACTCAATACTGAAACTTAGTGCTAGTAATAAGGAATTTCCCCATATGGAATGCCATTTAAATCCAGTATGTACGTATGTATGTATTAGATTTATCTCCACCCATCTCCCCCTAATGGGGGACTTTGGGTGGCTCACATGATCCATTAAAACAATAAATACATATAAAATTACAAAAAACATAAAAACTATACAAAGCATTACCAAAAAAAGAAAAAGTCCAAGAGCTGATGGTTTCCAGAGCAGCAGACGAAAGGCTTCTAAGGGACTAGCCATCCCCACACTTGATGTCTTCCCTCCTCACCC